TAGTTGTTGTCAGACCACTGTTATTCTGGGGTTGTTTGTGCCAGTACTCAACCCACTCTGACTAATACAAGGGATATTCCACAGGGCATATGAAGATGATATTTATATATTCTGACCATCACAGGTTTTTCTAAAACTTTGAAGCAAGTTCTACATAAAGTATAAAACGCTTATGGCCAGCCAATGAAGGGCAATACGTGAAATCCTGAAAACTCTACTGATAATACAGTCAAACTTTGAGATCTCCTTGTAACTAGGAGGTATAAAGTTCTAAGAGATAGTTTCCAGTACAAATTGTATGCCAACTTCATGTGTCCCATGCTGGTGATATGAAAAAGCTGAAATCCCCCCCCCCCATCCTTTCAATATTCCAACTGCTCTGCTTCTTATATATTCAGGAATAGCTTGAGATAGATCATTCATTTCATTTTATTGTTTTTTGGATCCACTGAGACAGGAGAATACAAATTGCTAAGTAGAAGGTGGCCTTGCTGAGGGACAGCCAAAGCTTGAACTCTGCTCTGATTCCGATCCTGAGTGTTGAGCCTTTGGCTTGCTGGGGCAGAAGCAAATATTTCAGGGAGGGATTTTCTCCTTTCTTCCTACCCCACCTTCCCATGTTTTACTCACTGAAAGAGGCTCCAAGTCAAACGGACAAAGACCCTTCTAAAGTGACCTCACTCAAAATCCACTTTGTTTAGTTATTTCTGTTCTACTTCAAAATCACAAATATATTTGATATATTCTTTTATTAGGTCCTAAACTTGGCATTTCAAATTTAGTACTTAAATACATCTAGCAATTACCTATGTAATGTGAGGTAGACTTCTAACAAAATTGTCTTTCCTTAGGAAGCTAATTTTTGAACATTAAGTGATTTGCAATCTGAACTATACAATCTGTCATTTCGCCAATGAGTCTTTGTGCCATGTCTATACTGTCATTATATGTCCCTCTACCTCTCTGATTCATCCATCTTTTCATTTCACAGCACCATTCTATTATCATTTCCAGGCCACTTGCAGTATGTCTAATTTGGTCAAACAGTTCTCCATCTTTTCTTTGTATTGAAATTGACTTACTTTGGGATATATAGTTTAAAATCGGTTTTTCGAATTTGTCATAAATCCAGCGCTTATCTTCATTAGTTACAGATAAATGTATAAATTAATTTGCATATTATATTAAGCTATCTCATCTAAGAATAGGAAATGTCTCTGTTCTGATCCCTCATGTCTTTGTAGAGAGTTTTAACATTTTCTATACATAGGTCTTGTATATACTTTATTAATTATTAGATGTTTTCTGTTTTTTACTGCTGTTTTTGTAAATTCATTGATTATTGCTGATATAATGGAGTATTTGTGAATATATATATTAGAGAGAGAGAAAAAACAAACATGAGTGGGGGAGAGGGGCAGGAGGAGAGAAAGAGAGAGAGAGTGGGAGACAGTGAGAGAGAGAGAGGAGAGAGAGAGTGGGAGACAGTGAGAGAGAGAGAGGAGAGAGAGAGAGAGAGAGAGAGAGAATATCTTAAACAGGCTCCACTCAGCAGGGGGCCTGGCACAGGCCTACAACCTACAACCCTGGGATCATGACCTGAGCCAAAATCAACAGTTGGATGCTCAACCAACTAAGCCACGCAGACACGTTATACTTTGAATATTTAAGTTGGTTTTCAGTTTGGCAACTTTGCTACTCTCCCATATTTAGTTCTAATATATTTTCAATTGAGATATTATATTTTGTGTCTATGGGTTTTTTTATTTGTTTGTTTTTCTGGTCTTTTTCATTCTACATTGTTTATTTGTAATTCTCTCCACTGTAATTTTATAAAATCAATTTTGCAATAGAACTGATTAATTCTTTTCAATTATCCAGTATTTTGTTGTGCCAGCATTCTATATATTTTTTTTTCCTGTTGTTGTTAATCTTTGCTATATTTCACATCTTATTTTTATTAGTTTCCTTTCTCATTTCTTTGGGTTTTAGCTATTTCTCCTTTCCCAACACCTTGAGTTTTGTATTTAATATGTCTGTTTCTTGATACCAGGGTTTCTCAACCTCAGCACTACTGACATTTTGAGCTATGTAATTCTTTCTTGTGTGTCTGGGGGCTTGTTTTGTACACTGGGAGTGCTTAGCAGCATTCCTAGCCTCTACCCACTAGCTGCCAATAGCCATCCCCTCTCATTCATGACAATCAAATGTGTGTGCAAACATTGCCAAGTATCTCCTGTGGTGGGAAAAAAATTATATGCTGTTGAGGGCCACTGGAAACTGACCAAAAGCATATAAAAACTGAGAAGTGTTGATCCAAGAAAAACTACTTAAGTTCAGATAAGAGCAGTGGCAATCGGCATGATTCAGCTTTGGGCTACTCCCTTATCCTCCAGCTCCATCAGTGTTCTACTTCTAAAGTGTGAGCAAGCCATGAAAGCAAGCAACTTTACTGGCGGGGGAACTGAGTGGATTTGGAGTGGAAGGTAGAAAAACTCCATGACCCAGAGAGTTATCTAAAACAAGAGTAATCTCAGTAGCAAGTGGGTAAGGAAGGCCAGTGTCCCAGCTGGCTTGAGTTTGCAAAACTGATTAAGGCAAACAACTAAGGAGCCAGCTAACAGGAAATTCAACAGGAGACCTGAGGAATGAGATAGCCATAATGGGCCTTGATTGGCTGTCTGAAAGGCTGTATGCACGTGCAAGGCTGCAAACATGTTCAGGAAAGACCAAAAAGAGCCCTAGTTGACTATACATCCTTGACTAGTGAGAATTTTTATGCATGGGCAAAAGAGACAGAAGTAGGGACGGCAGACATTAAAAGCTGAAGTAGGATTAAAAATTGCCTGAAGTGTATGTGTGTTCCCCAGCGAACACACAGATCCAATGGCAAAGGGGTGAAGATTTATTGCCACAAACTTACTGAGCACAAACTCTGATCAATCATGCTGACACAGAGGTGATCTCCAGGAAGCCAGGATTAAAATAAACACAAGAATTAAAAAGAGAAAACAAAACAAAACTGAGTCATCAGCAGCCATACACCACAGGAGAGAAATGCTCCACATGGTAAGTGTGGGCAAGTCACTAAACAAACACAGGAACAACTATAACCACTGTGAGCAGATCCAAATCCAAACTTATTACAATAAATTGTATATAATATCCAGTTACCAGCAAAAAATTAGAAGACATGCAGAGGAAGAGCAAACTGTGGCACATGTTTTGGGAAAAATAGTCTTGGATGTTGTCAAGATGTTATTAAATTCTCTGATGAGCACCAGATGTTGAACTTAGCAGAAAATGACTTCACAACAGCTATTTTAAACATGTCAAAGGAACTAAAGTAAACTATATTTAAAGAATAAAGGAAAGCATAACAACAATGACTCTTCAAATAAAAAATACCAATTAAAAATGGAGAAATTATAAAAGGAGAAACAAATGGAAATTCTGGAGTTAAAAACTACATTAACCAAAACAAACAAAAAATACAGTTAAGGAACTCAAGAGAATGGCATTATTCATAACATCCAAAGAATCAAAACAATCTAAATGCCTCTCAACTGGTGAATGAGTAAACAATATGTGGCATGCCCACACAATGGGATACTACTCAGCAATAAAATGGAATACAGTATTCATGCAGTTCATATGGGTGAACTTCAAAGATATTATGTGAAGTGAAACAAGCCAGATGCAAAGGACTACATATTGTACGATTTCTTTTATGTGAAATATCTATATACAAAAAAATTAGTTGTTTAGAGTTAGGTGAAGAAGCCAGAATTGACTACAAATGGGCATGAAGCTTCTTGTTTAGGTAATGAAAATCTTGTAAAATTGGATGGATTTAGTAAAATCATAGTTCACTTAAAATGAGTGAATTAGGTTGTGTGTAAGTTACATGCCGATAAAACTGTTAAAAACATTATTATGCATACTTCATATCAAATATAAGTAGGACTTTTTGGATCAAATGCATTACACTTTTGTTGCAAATAATAATAGTGTAATAGTATTATTAATGATTGTATATTTACCTTTCATTATGTACCATTGTTTGAGGCTCTTTAAATGTATAACGACATTATTTGTAATAATGAGAGTACAGATAAATAAATGGACACTCAGAAAAAATATCGCTAAAGGAACCTTGCTCAGGTAGCTTAACTTCCTAAATTCACAGATTCAATGACTTCTGTAATCTACGAGAGCAGTGTGTGTGGGTGCTTGTGTGTGTGTGTGTGTGTGTGTGTGTGTGTGTGTCTGTGTGTGAGTGTGTGTGTGTGCAGGCACATGAGACAGTATGTAGCATGACATGAGATTAATATTAAACAGTGTATGTTAAATGAAATGTAATGTACATAATATATCTTAAGAATTAATAATTACCAAGTAACATATATGTATGTATAAAATCACTATTAAAAATATTAATTCCTTAGGGATTAGAATTACAATAACTACTTTAATTGTCAAATGATATTTTACTTTCCATCTAGGATTTTTCAAGAAATTAAGTAAAAAGTTAGCCTTTTGACGTTTTAACCACTTGAGAATGATAGTAGCATTTTTCTTAGACTTCAGACCTAAGCGTAAAAACCTAATAGGTTATAATATTTTGATACATATCTCAAAGTAAGATAAAATTTGATGCATCATCTTCACATTTTAACTGTGGAGTTTCAGTCTATATTCAAAAACATAACTATCTTACAAACCATTCTACCCTTTATTTTAGTAACCCAAATAGTCAAATCAACTGGGGAAAAAAAAAAAGTTTCTTTCCTTTGTTTAACACATGAAAAATTTATCTATTGCTGATTCTTTGACTTTGAATAAATTCGTAAGTTTTATTATAGCCCATTAAAAGAGGTGTTTTGCTGACACAGAGGTAAAATAAATTATTTATAATCAGTAAATCTTCACAGTGTAAGAGTTTATACACAGTGATTATTCCAGACTGGTAAAAAAGAACATTTAACGCAAAATCTTACCACGCCAATGGAAAAGTAATTATTGATGATACTGTAAGGCACTGGGTCTCCCTTCTCATCTTTGTCATTAGGTATGACTTCAAACTTCCACCTGTCCAACATGATTTCTGTGCTGTTTTCAATGTCTTTTAGGATTTTCATCAGATTCTCACCTTCATAACCTAATGAAACAAAAATTATCTTGAGAAAAAAAAAATAACCAAATAACAAAAGCTGTATTTATGTGTGTCTGAGTGTGTGCATGTGGATACATCACTCTAAAGCTAAACAATGCATTTTAAAGCAAAGTCTAATACAAGACAAAGAATTAACTGTAATCGTTAAGCTCATAAAAATATTTTACCTTTAGCTTTAATTTGCAACTCACATTCCTCTCCTAGGGTGCCAATTCTCAGTATAGTCCAAGAACAAATGGATATCTCCACTGCTTATCCCCTCAAAACTATATCATTGAATTCAGAATGAAATTAATGCCTGCTTTAACAGGCAACAGCCTTGACCCAGTTGCTGAAGTAAAAATCCTGGATGCAATTTTAGACTTGACCCTTTACAATCCTCCTTTATCTTCACACTTTGCTCTCTACTGATATGAAACAACTTTCAGTTTAAGTAGAAGAAGGTCCTTCTCTTTCTCATTTTGTGCACTATATTGCCTTATTCTATATACCCAGAGTACCCTTTTCTTTTGGTTGCCTTGCTTCTGCTCCGTTTGCAGGTTTTATATTTGATAGCGCTTCTTTCCAGAAGCCACCCTCCCAAAATAAATGGCTTCTATACAGTGCCACAGCACACAGCTCTCCAAACTAGCGGCACCTTAGAACCACTACATTGCATTATAGTTATTTGCATTGTTCTCACTGCAAGTGTCCTTTACTTCCCGGGAGCAGATGCTCAACAAGTCTTGTTTTAATGAGTCTACTGCAGATAGTCAACATGGCCTGAAACTACAATTATTGCTTACTATGATATTTTCTCTTAAATGTATTTGTATCTATATAACCTTATAGTTCAGACATCCTAATCCCGGTTGTGTTATTTAATATTTGCTGTTAACCTCCCTAAATAGCGTCCTCCTCCTAAGTAAAAACTTAGATTTATTGTGAGAATTAAATGAGAAAATGCATAAAAGGTCTTAGTATATGAGGCCTAAGAATAGGAATTTCTCAACTGTATACGACTACTAATGATAATAGAATTAGAAATATTGTATTAAGTTAAATAATATCTCCCTCTCTAACTCTGCACACACATACACACACACATTTGAGAGTATATTTTGAATTGAAACAAGATTTTCATAGATTTTCTGTGTCCAACTTTGGTCTATATTTTAATAATGTATTCATTGAACAAGTAACTGCCTGAGGCTATGAGGCCTGATCAGAGGTGTTAGCACACATAACACTGGAATTAATTGGATTAAAAGAAAGAAGAATAGGCACTGTAATATACCAACATTCTTTAAAAATAAGTAAGTGTAATTATGGTGTATTTGTTGAATTAACTATTAGAGGTGAGACAGACAGAAACTAGGAATGCCTATTTCGGCGCCTACCATTACATTTTTCTTACACAGGTAAAATAATTATGTACTAATTAATACATACAGCAAAGAGTACAACAAACAATGATTAGACACATAGAAACATTAGAAGTATCACATATTATTTTCGTAGATGTTACATCATATTTTTGCAGTAAAATTTAAAAACTTTGAATATACATAATAATTTTCATACAATTGTACTCAGACATTTGGCAGGCTCCCACAATGTGCAGATTATAATAAGAGCCAACTATCTCTGGTTAGTCTTCCTCACGATGGGGACTTTAAGGAATAGTCCCAAGCAGCTGCAAAAACTCCTTTTGTTTCGGGGAACTTCCCTATCTTCTCTGGCCCAACATAGACTGCCCATTTCCGCTTGTTGGTGGAAAAAAAAAAAAAATCCACATCTGCTCATCTAGTCAAGCTGACTGGTTTTAGGACCAGGAGACCTCTTTTTGTCTGCCCTCTGGGCTTTTATCTGCCTCTGGACTTCTTACCAAAGCTCTTCCCTTCAGCCTTGCCCTCCCTCTGCCTGTTTCCGCACCACCTTGGGTGCCGCCTAGAAACTGGTTCCTATACCATCCTCAGGGCCTCAGGCACCACCAGCTCCTCCTCCCACCCTCTGGTCAAGGGGAAGCAAGGAGCCACTCACTTCAGAGTTCCCCACAGGTGCCCCAGGGAAAAAGTAACAATGGGGAACAAATTAATTGACTTTTAAATAGGCACAGATGGAACATATTTGGTATTTAAATTTAAGTTTGTTGGTTTCATTAAGATATGCACATCTTTAAGGTCATCAGCATTAAATATATAAAAATTTGACTACTTAGGTTTACTAAAGGTCAAATAAGCTCATGCTATCTCTGTTGCAATGTGTTTGTTTCAAAATGTACCTGGGTGATTGTTAAGATGGCTTTCAGGGTCTTTGATAACCTGAACCTTTGAAGTTTTGCTTGGATGATAAACTGGGTTAAATTCACTGGACATTTAGGACTTTTCTAAATCAGGTGGAATGCTAAAGCATTGCTAACTAAACATAGGTTTATGCTTTTGACTTTTTTTTTATTGTTTATTTATTTTTGAGAGAGACAAAGCATGAGCAGGGAGCATCCGAGAGAGAGGGAGACACAGATTCTGGTGCAGGCTCCCAGCTCTGAGCTGTCAGTACAGACGTGGGGCTCAAAGCCACAAACCGCCAGATCATTGACCTGAGCCAAAGTCAGACATCCAATCAACTGAGCCACCCAGGTGCCCCTATGCTTTTGACTTATAGCAGAAAAACTAAGGATATTTGGGTCTGTTGGAAAACATACTTTGTGCTTAATTGATTCATAAGTTTGCCATCTAAGGAATTCTGATGTAACAATTCACAATTGGTTACTGCTTAGTTTTCACTGGAGACTAAGGTTTCTAACTATTAAAATTCTGCTTAATGTAGTTAACACTGGTACAAATAAGGAAATAAGGAAGCAAGGAAATAAGTAAAAGCAAATATGTTTGTAGAAAATTAGATGTTTAAGTTATAAGGAAAGGAAATACATTTTTGTTGACAGTAAAAAAACACAATGTTAAAAAAAAAAGGAATTTTGTCCTAAACAAGACTGGTAGTTTGAAGAGAAATGGCTTGGGACAAAATCTGAATGCAAAGGAAAATTGTAGAAGGTTCGTGCAGGGAAATCTTTGGAAAGGAATTTTATGTGTGGTCAGGGAGACTAAGATTAAAATGAACAGATTTTAAAAGTACCCTGGTATAAGACTAAAATTCCCCCTCCTTTGAGCCAAAGGCTGGGAAAATGGTGGCAATACCCTCGTTGCTGGCCTCCAAATACTCTACATTTGTGTTTCTGCAAGGCAGATGAATATGGCCTGTGCCATATGAGGGATGGATGGATGGCTATGATAATATAGAGGGTTTTTAGTGAGATACATGGGAGCCATTTTGCTACACTTAACCCAGTGTCTGCCAATGTGCAACAACCTCGATATTGTAAAATGGATACCCACATGGCTGGAATGTATTTATGTGGGCATTGCTGGAAAAGGCAGGGGAATAGACCTCAGTTTTGACGCTTTTAGCCCCCCTCAATGGCCAATTTTATCCTTACAAAAAAGGTTTTTCACCAGCCTTTTGACATGTATTTGTAAAGAGGAACAGTTTTTATTATGATCAATACATAAATTACTGTACAGCCAAAAATAAAATGAGCACATCCTCTACATCCAGGGAAGTCTTGCTTGGTCACAGCTGATACCCCCAAAGTCCCACAGGTGGGAAATGGAGGGGTGTGAGGAATCGGGAAGACAAGGTCGCTCTTGGAGGTAGGGTCAAGTGCGGGTAAAAGCAACTACTGCCAGCACCTCACAAGACTGACAGGGCTTTTGGCTGCCAGTTGCATAGCCAGGCTAAGTACAGTGGTTCGGAGATAAGGTTTCTTCTGGCCAGAGATAGGAGATTGAGATAAGGGATGCCTATTCCTCCTTTTTCCTGTAGAAATTGGAATTCTATAGGCAATTGGCAATTCCCCAACCAAGGCCAATCTTCCTTTTGGATGCATTATCACAAATTGGGATAATTTTGATCCACATACCCTGAAAGAAAAGCGACTCGTTTTCTTTTGCACCAAGTCTTGGCCCCAGTACAAATTAGAGGAGGAAAACAGGTCACCAGAGGAAAATATCAATTATGACACTATCCTCCAATTGGATTGTTTTACAAATGTGAGGAGGAATTGAGGAGAAGTCACCTATGTTCAGTGTTTTGGGGGCCTTAAGAGAGAATAGAGTTATGTATAAGGTCCATTCTGGCCTGTTGGCAATGCTTTCCAAGAGTTCATAAGAACCTTTGCCTGTACCCAAAGCAGACCTAGAAAAGGAGAAAGGGAAGTCTTCCATCTCAGCCTCTTCCTCCTCAGGTCCTCGATCTGTACATTCAGACTTAAAAACATACACTTCTGCTCCCTTCTGCCCATGTTATCCAGGCCCTCCCCACAATGCAACAGGCATATTTCCCCTACAAGAAGCTCAAGTGCTGGAAGGGAGGACACAAGGAGGCACCACTGTGATAAGATTACAAGTACTTTTTCATTACAAGATTTAAGACAGATAAAAGGAGATCTACGTAAAATTTCTGATGATCCAGATAGACATATAAGGGCTTTTTAGAATATTCTGGAAAGATATAATGCTTTTGCTGATTCAGACTCTTAATGAGACAGAGAAACATAGGGTTCTGGCAGCAGCTGAGAGATATGGGGACTCAGAAAGCAACTCATTAATTATCATGGGACTAGAGGTCCTATAGGGAACCAGAAAGGACCCAGGCAGTCCTGCTCCAAGATCCTAATTGGGACTATGACCATCTCATTGAGGAATGGATGGCCTTTGTTTTTGGAAAAATTAATGAGGTCCCAAGTTAAACCTTTAAATTATGCTAAATTAGCCACTATTATGCAAACACAAGATGAAAACCTGGTGGCCTTCCTGGAAAGGTTGAGGTTAAATATATGGGTATCTCCCTTACACCCCCCAAAGCTGCGAGGATCCTAAAGGACAAATTTGTCACTCAATCAGCCCCAGATATTTGGAGAAAGCTGCAAAAAGTTGGTTGTTGGCCTG